ATATATATATATATATATATATATATATATATGTCGTACCTAGTAGCCAGAACTCACTTCTCAGCCTACTATTCAAGGCCCGATTTGCCTAATAAGCCAAGTTTTCCTGAATTAATATATTTACTACAATTTTTTTCTTATGAAATGATAAAGCAACCCTTTTCTCTATGTATGAGGTCAATTTTTTTTTATTGGAGTTAAAATTAACGTAGATATATGACCGAACCTAACCAACCCTACCTAACCTAACCTAACCTATATTTATAGGTAAGGTTAGGTTAGGTAGCCAAAAAAGCTAGGTTAGGTTAGGTTAGGTAGGTTAGGTAGACGAAAAAACATTAATTCATGAAAACTTGGCTTATTAGGCGAATCGGGCCTTGAATAGTAGGCTGAGAAGTGCGTTCTGGCTATTAGGTACGACATATATATATATATATATATATATATATATATATATATATATATATATATATATATATATATATATATATATATATATATATATATATATATAAATAAATAAATAATTTGTTATGGGGTTAGTAAACTAACTTCAATTATCATAGATTAGATTACACTTCAAATACCAGCGAACAGTTTTTCATTGTTTATATCACTGGATCGAAGAGTTTGTTAGTTAAAGCACATTTGCGGAGTGCGGTATACATGACGTGACTTTTATTTCAACTGAGGATCGGCTGGTCACGTATGTGGAGAATTCACCTTGGGCTGGACGAATAATTTGTTCTAGATACATTAAATAAATTTCCAATATAAATTACAACGCAAATAAGGCAGAGTTAAGACCGGGTTTAATTAGATTAAAAAAAAAGAATTCGTGCCCATGTGAGGTGGGGCGGCTGACGCAGCTGCAGTCATGATTAGTAGGAAACTTTGGTGTTCCTACACTAGCAATTAATATTGTTAGTAAATTTGATTTCCTAACAAAATGCTTTTATCTTCCTGTGCTAGAGGTTAGTATTTGGGGTGCTGGAAATTTCTGACAAGTCCCTGGGTTAGTGTCAGCAACAGCAGGGAAGTACTAGAGTCCCTGGGTTAGTGTCAGCACCAGCAGGGAAGTACTGGAGTCCCTGGGTTAGTGTCAGCAATAAGCAGGGAAGTACTAGAGTCCCTGGGTTAGTGTCAGCAATAAGCAGGGAAGTACTGGAGTCCCTGGGTTAGTGTCAGCAATAAGCAGGGAAGTACTGGAGTCCCTGGGTTAGTGTCAGCAACAGCAGGGAAGTACTGGAGTCCCTGGGTTAGTGTCAGCAACAGCAGGGAAGTACTGGAGTCCCTGGGTTAGTGTCAGCAACAGCAGGGAAGTACTGGAGTCCCTGGGTTAGTGTCAGCAACAGCAGGGAAGTACTGGAGTCCCTGGGTTAGTGTCAGCAACAGCAGGGAAGTATTGGAGTCCCTGGGTTAGTGTCAGCAACAGCAGGGAAGTACTAGAGTCCCTGGGTTAGTGTCAGCAACAGCAGGGAAGTACTAGAGTCCCTGGGTTAGTGTCAGCAACAGCAGGGAAGTACTGGAGTCCCTGGGTTAGTGTCAGCAACAGCAGGGAAGTACTAGAGTCCCTGGGTTAGTGTCAGCAACAGCAGGGAAGTACTGGAGTCCCTGGGTTAGTGTCAGCAACAGCAGGGAAGTACTGGAGTCCCTGGGTTAGTGTCAGCAACAGCAGGGAAGTACTGGAGTCCCTGGGTTAGTGTCAGCAACAGCAGGGAAGTACTGGAGTCCCTGGGTTAGTGTCAGCAACAGCAGGGAAGTACTGGAGTCCCTGGGTTAGTGTCAGCAACAGCAGGGAAGTACTGGAGTCCCTGGGTTAGTGTCAGCAACAGCAGGGAAGTACTGGAGTCCCTGGGTTAGTGTCAGCAACAGCAGGGAAGTACTGGAGTCCCTGGGTTAGTGTCAGCAACAGCAGGGAAGTACTGGAGTCCCTGGGTTAGTGTCAGCAACAGCAGGGAAGTACTGGAGTCCCTGGGTTAGTGTCAGCAACAGCAGGGAAGTACTGGAGTCCCTGGGTTAGTGTCAGCAATAAGCAGGGAAGTACTGGAGTCCCTGGGTTAGTGTCAGCAACAGCAGGGAAGTACTGGAGTCCCTGGGTTAGTGTCAGCAACAGCAGGGAAGTACTGGAGTCCCTGGGTTAGTGTCAGCAACAGCAGGGAAGTACTGGAGTCCCTGGGTTAGTGTCAGCAACAGCAGGGAAGTACTGGAGTCCCTGGGTTAGTGTCAGCAACAGCAGGGAAGTACTGGAGTCCCTGGGTTAGTGTCAGCAACAGCAGGGAAGTACTGGAGTCCCTGGGTTAGTGTCAGCAACAGCAGGGAAGTACTGGAGTCCCTGGGTTAGTGTCAGCAACAGCAGGGAAGTACTGGAGTCCCTGGGTTAGTGTCAGCAACAGCAGGGAAGTACTGGAGTCCCTGGGTTAGTGTCAGCAACAGCAGGGAAGTACTGGAGTCCCTGGGTTAGTGTCAGCAACAGCAGGGAAGTACTGGAGTCCCTGGGTTAGTGTCAGCAACAGCAGGGAAGTACTGGAGTCCCTGGGTTAGTGTCAGCAACAGCAGGGAAGTACTGGAGTCCCTGGGTTAGTGTCAGCAACAGCAGGGAAGTACTGGAGTCCCTGGGTTAGTGTCAGCAAGTGTCAGCAAGCAGGGAAGTACTGGAGTCCCTGGGTTAGTGTCAGCAACAGCAGGGAAGTACTGGAGTCCCTGGGTTAGTGTCAGCAACAGCAGGGAAGTACTGGAGTCCCTGGGTTAGTGTCAGCAACAGCAGGGAAGTACTGGAGTCCCTGGGTTAGTGTCAGCAAGTCCCTGGGTTAGTGTCAGCAGGGAAGTACTGGAGTCCCTGGGTTAGTGTCAGCAACAGCAGGGAAGTACTGGAGTCCCTGGGTTAGTGTCAGCAACAGCAGGGAAGTACTGGAGTCCCTGGGTTAGTGTCAGCAACAGCAGGGAAGTACTGGAGTCCCTGGGTTAGTGTCAGCAACAGCAGGGAAGTACTGGAGTCCCTGGGTTAGTGTCAGCAACAGCAGGGAAGTACTGGAGTCCCTGGGTTAGTGTCAGCAACAGCAGGGAAGTACTGGAGTCCCTGGGTTAGTGTGTCTGGGTTAGTGTCAGCAGGGAAGTAAGTCCCTGGGTTAGTGTCAGCAACAGCAGGGAAGTACTGGAGTCCCTGGGTTAGTGTCAGCAACAGCAGGGAAGTACTGGAGTCCCTGGGTTAGTGTCAGCAACAGCAGGGAAGTACTGGAGTCCCTGGGTTAGTGTCAGCAACAGCAGGGAAGTACTGGAGTCCCTGGGTTAGTGTCAGCAACAGCAGGGAAGTACTGGAGTCCCTGGGTTAGTGTCAGCAACAGCAGGGAAGTACTGGAGTCCCTGGGTTAGTGTCAGCAACAGCAGGGAAGTACTGGAGTCCCTGGGTTGTGTCAGCAACAGCAGGGAAGTACTGGAGTCCCTGGGTTAGTGTCAGCAACAGCAGGGAAGTACTGGAGTCCCTGGGTTAGTGTCAGCAACAGCAGGGAAGTACTGGAGTCCCTGGGTTAGTGTCAGCAACAGCAGGGAAGTACTGGAGTCCCTGGGTTAGTGTCAGCAACAGCAGGGAAGTACTGGAGTCCCTGGGTTAGTGTCAGCAACAGCAGGGAAGTACTGGGTTAGTGTCAGCACAGCAGGGAAGTACTGGAGTCCCTGGGTTAGTGTCAGCAACAGCAGGGAAGTACTGGAGTCCCTGGGTTAGTGTCAGCAACAGCAGGGAAGTACTGGAGTCCCTGGGTTAGTGTCAGCAACAGCAGGGAAGTACTGGAGTCCCTGGGTTAGTGTACAACAGCAGGGAAGTACTGGAGTCCCTGGGTTAGTGTCAGCAATAAGCAGGGAAGTACTAGAGTCCCTGGGTTAGTGTCAGCAACAGCAGGGAAGTACTGGAGTCCCTGGGTTAGTGTCAGCAACAGCAGGGAAGTACTGGAGTCCCTGGGTTAGTGTCAGCAATAAGCAGGGAAGTACTGGAGTCCCTGGGTTAGTGTCAGCAACAGCAGGGAAGTACTGGAGTCCCTGGGTTAGTGTCAGCAACAGCAGGGAAGTACTGGAGTCCCTGGGTTAGTGTCAGCAACAACAGGGAAGTACTAGAGGCCCTGGGTTAGTGTCACAGCAGGGAAGTACTGGAGTCCCTGGGTTAGTGTCAGCAACAGCAGGGAAGTACTGGAGTCCCTGGGTTAGTGTCAGCAACAGCAGGGAAGTACTTGAGTCCCTGGGTTAGTGTCAGCAACAGCAGGGAAGTACTGTAGTCCCTGGGTTAGTGTCAGCAACAGCAGGGAAGTACTGGAGTCCCTGGGTAAGTGTCAGCAACAGCAAGGAAGTACTGGAGTCCCTGGGTTAGTGTCAGCAACAGCAGGGAAGCAGGGAAGTACAGGGAAGTACTAGAGTCCCTGGGTTAGTGTCAGCAACAGCAGGGAAGTACTGGAGTCCCTGGGTTAGTGTCAGCAACAGCAGGGAAGTCACTGGAGTCCCTGGGTTAGTGTCAGCAACAGCAAGGAAGTACTTGAGTCCCTGGGTTAGTGTCAGCAACAGCAGGGAAGTACTGGAGTCCCTGGGTTAGTGTCAGCAACAGCAGGGAAGTACTGGAGTCCCTGGGTTAGTGTCAGCAACAGCAGTACTGGAAGTACTGGAGTCCCTGGGTTAGTGTCAGCAACAGCAGGGAAGTACTGGAGTCCCTGGGTTAGTGTCAGCAACAGCAGGGAAGTACTGGAGTCCCTGGGTTAGTGTCAGCAACAGCAGGGAAGTACTGGAGTCCCTGGGTTAGTGTCAGCAACAGCAGGGAAGTACTGGAGTCCCTGGGTTAGTGTCAGCAACAGCAGGGAAGTACTGGAGTCCCTGGGTTAGTGTCAGCAACAGCAGGGAAGTACTGGAGTCCCTGGGTTAGTGTTAGCAACAGCAGGGAAGTACTGGAGTCCCTGGGTTCTGTATGGTGAAGTAAATGTATTGTAAGAGTGTTTCTGACTGTGGCGTGTGTCCGCCCTCAGGCGCTGACGATCGTGGCGATCAGCGTCAGCGAGGGCACGAGTGACTTCAGCTTCGGTAATGATGACCGCACCTTCTTCTGTGGCGGGGTGCTGGTGCTGTCCGTGGTGGTGACGCCTCTACTCTTCCTCACCTACCTGAAGGGCGCCGCCAAGGAGATACAGCGGACACCCTTTGTGAGTCAGGGTGCATATCTTCCTCGGCTCGCGTGTTTTGTTTCTCCATCGGAATTTTATTTAATTTAGATTCTCATTTCACTATTCTCTTCTTTCCTTATTTTTCCCTCGCCTTATTTTGTTATTTTTATTCCCAATTACTTCATGTCTTACTGTTTCATGCATGTTGAGGCTTAGTGTGGGCAACCCGTTCTCGCAAATTTAATAAGTCAATATTGACTTATTAAATATATGCATAGGTGACATACTTAACATAATAGTTTCCATATGCAGGCGATGAGTCACAATAACGTGGCTGAAGTATGTTGACCAGACCACACACTAGAAGTTTCCACGCCAGACCTTTCACAGTATATACTCAAATGCTCTAATCTTTCTAACAAACGTGACTTAACATAAGCTTACCCCTTCCATTTATCTTTCTTTTTCTTTTTCTTTTTCTCTTTCCTTTTCTTTCTCTCTTCTCCCTTTTTCTGTTCATTGTCTTCTCCTACGCTCCCTTGCTATTCTCTTCTTATTCCTATTACTATCTCCTTCGGTGGTTATAATAGGAGCTGCCTCGTATGGGCCAATAGGCCTTCTGCAGTTCTCATTTTTACTACTATCCCCTACACCTTACTTTCCTCCTTAGCTCTCTCTTGCCTATTTATTGCCTGTCCCTACCTGTCCTCATCACAATCGACTTGAGAATGGTCCAGGACGGACCGAAACGTCGTCGTCCCTTCAACTTCTAGTGTGTGGTCTGGTCAACATAATAGTTTCCCTTGAAAAGCTTCATAGAAAACACCGACCTTACCTAACCTACTTAGTATGTTAAGATAAGCATCTTATTGCTTCGTAATTACAATTATTACCTAACCTATACCTATAATAGGTTAAGTAACAATTGTAATTACGAAGCTATAAGATGCTTATTTTAACATACTAAGTAGGTTAGGTAAGGTCGGTGTTTTGTATGAAGCTTTTCAAGGGAAACTATTATGTTTAGTATGTCACCTATGCACGCAACTAATAAGTCAATATTGACTTATTAAATTTGCGAGAACGGGTTGGTGTGGGGTCAGGGGCTGGGTATAATAATTACACTTTGTAGGTACTGTAGTGCTGTAACCCGGACCTTAGCTCATAGCTCACAACCTTATGGTATTCCTGCTCAATGTGTGAGAGAGAGAGAGAGAGAGAGACAAAGAGAGATAACGGCAGTTCAAAGAAGCAATCAGAGTTGGTCAAATCACTTGTCTTACTCGTCACTTATTATATCTATGGGAATTCCTTCTCTATTTTTGCTTCTCAATTACTTTGCTCAATACATGTTGTCGTTGCCCCGCAGGAAGTATTGGTGAACTTGGTGCAGGGAGCCTTCATGTTGTCAGCAGGCAGCGTGATCATCAACACCTCCTGCACCCACCTGAAGGACGTGCCATGGGCCGCTGACGCCGGCAAGACCGCCGGGTCCTTCTGCATCATCAACTCTCTCTTGTATTTCCTCGACACATTCTTCGCCTTTCAGAATTTGAGCTAAAAAGTCTGATTGTTATCATAATTAGTGTCAGTTCTTCACTCGAGGAATATCATTTGTTGTGACCTCATCGGGGACACGAAGGCGGCGGCTTGTTGAAGCTCCTGCCAATATTTCTTGTTCTTTTTTTACTACAATATTCTGTCATTATTGACGATGGGTGGAGACCGCATCAAACTACTTCATGACAACTGTACACACACACATATATATATATGTGTGTGTGTGTGTGTGTGTGTGTGTGTGTGTGTGTGTGTGTGTGTGTGTGTGTGTGTGTGTGTGTGTGTGTGTGTGTGTGTGTGTGTACTCACCTACTTGTACTCACCTAGTTGTGTTTGCGGGGATTGAGCTCTGGCTCTTTGGTCCCGCCTCTTAACCGTCAATCAACAGGTGTACAGGTTCCTGAGCCCTATTGGGCTCTATCATATCTACACTTGAAACTGTGTATGGAGTCAGCCTCCGCCACATCACCTCCTAAGGCATTCCATTTGTCAACCACTCTGACACTAAAAAAGTTCTTTCTAATATCTCTGTGACTCATTTGGGTGCTCAGTTTTCACCTGTGTCCCCTAGTGCGTGTGCCCCTTGTGTTAAATAGCCTGTCTTTATCCACCCTATCAATTCCCTTGAGAATCTTGAATGTGGTGATCATGTCCCCCTAACTCTTTGTCTTCCAGCGAAGTGAGGTTTAATTCCCGTAGTCTCTCCTCGTAGCTCATACCTCTCAGCTCGGGTACTAGTCTGGTGGCAAACCTTTGAACCTTTTCCAGTTTAGTCTTATCCTTGACTAGATATGGACTCCATGCTGGGGCTGCATACTCCAAGATTGGCCTGACATATGTGGTATACAAAGTTCTGAATAATTCTTTACACAAGTTTCTGAATGCCGTTCGTATGTTGGCCAGCCTGGCATATGCCGCTGATGTTATCCTCTTGATATGGGCTGCAGGAGACAGGTCTGGCGTGATATCAACTCCCAAGTCTTTTTCTTTCTCTGACTCCTGAAGAATTTCCTCTCCCAGATGATACCTTGTATCTGGCCTCCTGCTCCCTACACCTATCTTCATTACATTACATTTGGTTGGGTTAAACTCTAACAACCATTTGTTCGACCATTCCTTCAGTTTGTCTAGGTCTTCTTCTTGTCCTCTTCTGTCTTAATCTTTCTGATTAAGACAGAAGAGAGAGTGTGTGTGTGTGTGTGTGTGTGTGTGTGTGTGTGTGTGTGTGTGTGTGTGTGTGTGTGTGTGTGTGTGTGTGTGTGTGTGTGTGTGTGTGTGTGTGTGTGTGTGTGTGTGTGTGTGTGTGTGTGTGTGTGTGTGTGTGTGTGTTTTGGTGAACTCCAGAGAACTTTGTTGAATATTTAATATTAAAGAACTAAAATCATCAACGTTTATTACTTTACCTTATAATTCATATTGAACTTAAATGTCTCTTCATTGTATTGTAATGGTCTGGTGCTCAGATCATTGGTTCTCCCTTCTCCCCTCCTTTCCTTCTCCCTTCTCCCCTCCTTTCCTTCTCCCTTCTCCCCTCCTTCCCACTCCCCTCCCCTTGGCCGTCATTCGTCTCCTCCTCATCCCACCGCTGCCACCATTGTAATAACCCAATTTGCCTTTGTATTAACCCTGTTATCTTGTGATCTCTCGTAATCGTGATCGCTATCCCTGTTGTAACTCTCTTTCTCTCTTCACTCAATACCCCAGCTCAACACTGTTACAGTCCAGTATGACCCCTCACTGGACTGCCACGTATATAAGAGGAATATTAAATGAGGAAGATACATCAAGGACAAGGGTTATTAGTTTATAAAAAAAAAACAATAAACAAAACTCATTAAACACTGCCACCACATTCCCGACCAACCATACCTGAATGTGTCTATCACCGATCCCCCAGGAAGGCAAGGAATCAGTAATCATGGGACTCCCGGGTAATATGAATTTCAGTAATAAATTTTGGGAAATTAGTTTCTTTAAGTTACGTTACTTCTTTAAATCCAAGGACAACTTTAGTATCTGTTAACTGTAGGAGAACATTGGGGTTTCCAATTCAACACCTAAAAATGACAAGTAGAAAAATATATCAAAGGGGAGTTAAGTGAATACCACTGGACAAGTTATACAATTTATTTTATGAAATATGTAAATTAAGACAATTTGAACATATACCCTATTCTATTCCCCTAGAGGCACAACGGATATTTACTGAGGACATGAACTCAAGTGCACTATACCTTAAATAACCGCACTAAGGAGAAGATGTTGATGGCTGCACTCAGCCCCTAGGATACGGGCTTGCGACCCTCCAGTCCCAATACACTCCCAAGACACACTGATGAAATTTTGTTTTACCAGCTTATTGCTGGGCCGGATTACTCCTCCCACCATCTAATACAGCCCCAGGGCTCCGCCCATTATTCTGGCAATGGCCAACCATTTAACACTTAGGCCTGAGGTCTGGCTCTCTAGGGCCAATAAGGACTTGGCCCTTATCTCAAGCCAATCACCTTCACTGATCTGCCGTGGAAGGCTACATGAATTCCTGAAGATTGAGTCAGCTCTCCCCAGCTATCAGAAGGGAGTTGTAATGATCTGGTGCTCAGATCATTGGTTCTCCCTTCTCCCCTCCTTTCCTTCTCCCTTCTCCCCTCCTTTCCTTCTCCCTTCTCCCCTCCTTTCCTTCTCCCTTCTCCCCTCCCCTTCAACATCTGCTTCAGAGTTAGATGGAACCGCTCAATTACCCCCTGACTCTGTGGATGGTATGGGCTGGAAACCTTATGAATTATTCCATGGTCATTGCAAAATTGCTCAAAAATATCAGACTTAAAGTTAGTACCATTGTCAGTTTGCACGACCCGAGGCAGTCCAAAAGTGGAAAAAAATTGCAACATACGAGCAACAACAGTCTTTGCTCGGATGTTCCTTACAGCAAAAGCCTCTGGGTAACGAGTCGTGATACACATCATCGTGATTAGGTAAATATTACCAGACTTAGTTCTAGGTAATGGACCAACACAGTCCATTACCACATGAGAAAATGGTTCCTCTGGCACGACAATAGGCCTTAGAGGAGCTTTAGGTGATGTCTGGTTTGGTTTCCCAACAAGTTGACAAGCACTACATGCATTACAAAATTTTGCCACATCGCTTTTCAGCTTGGGCCAGAAAAAATACTTGCAGATTTTGTGATAAATAATATTAATACCTTGATGTCCCCCCATAGGATCATCATGAGCCACTGACAAAACTCTTTCTCTATAGCAGGTCGGCAACATAACCTGGTGGACTACCTCCCACTCATTTGAGAAGGGAGCACTCTGTGGTCTCCATTTTCTCATCAAAATCTGATCATTGTAGTAGTACCCAGTTGCTGCATCTACAATTTCCTCCTTAGAGGTGGCTAACTCATGGCATTCTGCAAGACTTGGGTCAGCTTTCTGTAACTCACTCAAGGAGGCATCTAGGCCTTGGTCAGATGCCATTGGCCGAGGCTCAACAGTGTTCTCCTCCACCTCCTCACTACTCTCAGTAGGCGGCGGTGGCAGGCTCTCCACAATGTCCTCGGCCATGTCATCGAGTCGGGCCATGAACGTGTCCGCGAGGTCCACTTGGTTTTCACCACTCGTACAGTTCTTCGTGTCCTCGGGATTTACCACCTTGGCAAGCACAGGGCTGCCCTTACATTTAAGTCCCATAGACCTGGTCACCGTGCATGCAGGGTACACAACATTATCCTCTGCGGCAGGTGGATCCAGGCAAACCTTAAGGGTAGGCAACATAATAGGCAGTCTTGAGTCCCCTACCTTATCCCCTGCTATATCATTACCAACTATTACATCAACATTAGGGAAAGGTAGGTACGAAGTGACTCCGACTGTACAAACACCCTTGTGGAAATCAGATTACAGGGTAACCTTATGGAGGGGTACTGCTCGAGTATCACTAGTGACACCTGTCATGTTCACAGAAAATGGTACCATCCCTATGTGCGGCGGCTGAGACGCCAGAGAGAGGAGGTAGCGTACAGGACGCCTCTTGGTCCAGTGTAATCGTATTAAAGTCAGTAACCAAGTCATGGCCAAGACCTCAGTAACACACAAACACCACAACACCCTCGAAGCACCTCTCCAGTGTCTGGCACCTTGCAAAGCACTCTCTAAAATTAAAGTCTGGAGGCACCGGTGTCTCGGAAGATCACCACGTCCTTCCAGGAAGAACCCTCCAACAAAAGTAGTCTCCCTTTCGATAAGAATGGGGTAAGCAAGTCCAACCACTGTGGGTTGGAGGTCTTACTCCCTAATCCTTCCGAAGGCCTCAAGCCCTGTGTCACAACTAGAGCATTGGGTCTTTTTCCGGGTACAGTTGCCAACAACGGCTAGTAATGTGGTTTGGACGTTTACAGTGACCACAGATACGTCGGGGAGAAGAGACATTACTAACAGAATTACCCTTCGGTTCACTCTTAGGTGTCGTGGGGCTAGACAATTTAACAGGGTTGGTTATGTCTGAAACAGAAGGTGCAGTAGTTAAAGGGTTAGAATGAGCTGGTCTGGACTGGCTGTGGGTATAAGTTTTGCTACTCTATGAGGTATAATTATTTTTATTGGGCCTGTTGCCCGCCAACTGGTAGTTTTCTGCCATCTTGGCCAAATCTCCTATTTATAATCTACCTCTATCCTTCCTCTAATAAACTGTGCAACATTCTCTGGCATATTATATATAAAGTGTTCCATTAAAACTACATTCTTTAGTGCCTCGTATGTTTCGGCTTTCGCCGAGCGAATCCATTTATCAAACAATCTAATTTAATAATAATAATAATAATAATAATTTTTATTTAGGCAAAGGTACATACATAAAGAGATTTTACAAAAGTTTGTTGGCTTTATAGATAAGAGCTAGTACATACAATGCCTAAAGCCACTATTACGCAAAGCGTTTCGGGCAGGAAAAAACACTACTGACTAAAGCTTAAAACTAATGGGTAAAAAGAAAAAAATGCGTTGAGTACAAATAAAAATAGAGGTAAAAGAGGGGGGAACATTGTTGAAAAAACAGCACAAATACAATTACAAATTATTACAGAAAATTACATTAAAACAGCGTTGATTTGAAAAAAAAAAAAAAAACAAGAAACATACATGGGTTGACAATAGAGAGGTAAGGTAGGTTACAGGGAATTTATTAGGTATAGCTTCGTTTTTAACTTAAACTGGTTGAGAGAGGTACAGTCTTTAACATGGTTGGGAAGGTCATTCCACATTCTGGGCCCCTTGATTTGTAGAGC